AAATAAATAAAAGGCTCACACTAAAAGGAACTAAAAATGAGCCACAGTAACTAGGACTCATAGCAATTCAAAAGAAAACTTGACTGTAAGGTGGATTCGCTGGTAATTTGCAAAGACGTTAGGTTTGCTGGACAAATGCAAGTTTGGGGTTAGGTTGACCAGCTACAGCAACTTCAAGTGAGGACATTAGTAACCAAGAGACCTTTTTACGTTGCTTGTTTCAGTTTCAGAGACTGATAGGGGTAGGAGGGAGGAAGAGGAGAAAGAGCTGCTTGTCTCCTGGCTGAAACTCACGACCATTACGCTATATATTTAATCCCAAAGGTTAGAGAATCCTACCCTATTTTCTTCCTCCCATCCTTCCAGAATTGGTTTCACCAGGGACTGGCAACTGTCTTTTGCAGCCTTGCAAAGAAGGTTTTATAAATAAGCCTCTGTCAGCCACACAGTGAGCTGGTGTCACCTGCGGCGTTGCTTATGGGCATTGCCCCTTAGCACCCTCGGCAGCCATACAGGCACTGGCTGGGCTGTTTAGCGGCCCTTGCCTGTGTGGTCCCAGAGCTTATCCAGACAGTCCAGTTGCAGGATATATGTTCCTTTTTGAAGGAAAATGACCTAGAAGCCAGTGCTCCTGACAGCAGGGGGATAGGTGGCCGCTGAAGCGGGAGGAGGAATTTCCAGATACCTGGATGCAGGAGTGCTCTGGAGATGGGCGGTGCTGCTTGCCGCGGCACTGCTTTTTGCACTGCTGCTTCCACGCTTCTTGGCTTATACTTTTCCTGCGCCGTTCCCGGTTCCTTTACCCTTTTTGTCCCGCACTTGATGCTAGCCGTGCTTGAGGGTATTACCACGAGCACCCCGGAGGGGCTGGAAACCTCAGTGGTGTTTTGTCAGTGCTGATAGCGCCCCATGCTTCGCGTCAGTGGTCTTGCAGCCGTGTTGCGGGGATGGCCTGCTGCGCTTCCCTGCAAGGGAGCGCTGCACAGGAGGCAGATGTGTTTCCATGCCTGTGTAGCCATAAAGCACGGGCACCCCGATTGGAAGGTCTTGCTAGCAACCCAGACAACGCTGGGAGCTTCTGTGTTGCTGAGGAGGAGGAGGTGGCAGGCAGAGCTCCCTCGCTAACGGCCACAGAGGCAAGGTGTTGCTTCACCCCAAGACATCACGTGCTTACTCGGCAGGAAGAAGGCTCCTTTGATCAAGTTAGAGAGTTGCAACGAGAGACCTGTGGTCTCCTCAGGCCATGTTGCTGCAAGTGAGGATGGCCACATTTCCCTTTCTGCTCTTGAGAGTATCTGGGTGTAGGACTTGTGGAGCTACGGAGAGCCTCTTGAATGTTTTCCAAGCTCTTGAGAGTTCTCACGCCTTGGTGCAGCAAGCTTTCCGAGAGCATCAGAGGCTCAGAGTTCTCTCCAATGAGAAAAATGTTAAGGCCATCAAAATAACTGGCCATTGTGGTGTTTCCAGCAGACTTTTCATTCTGATGAGTCACTGACTCTCTCCTGATTTGCCTCTTGTAAGAGCTGTTTGGGCAGCTGCTGATGCAGGAGCGTGATTCTGAGTCGTGGTCCCTGGAGAGCAGGACAGGGCTGCGTGCTGCCTCACCTCTGAACGGGTGGATAGTTCATCTGCCTAGCTCTTCATCAGTAAAGCCTTGCTCGCAGCTGTGGTTCTCGCCTGCCTTGATCCTGCCTCATCAGAATAGCTGGGGAGCTGATGGGGAGGAGGCATGTTTGGTGCAGAGAAGCAAAATGCCCAAGTGATTTCTGTAGTCTGAAAAGCATGAATCAGAAATCAGAGGGTCTGGTGCCTTACGTTTCTGGATCTTCTTATAACCATGTCACGGCTGAAGGCTTGGTTTCTGTCCCAAAGAAAGAGCGCAGTCCATCTCTAGGATGCAAGAGCTATCCGTACCCATATCCATTCCCTGTGCACAGATAGGGCCACTGTCTGCTGTTCTGTAGCTGGTCCCCAGATCCTTCTTGTGTGTTTTTTATGATGCCCACATCTGCCTGAGGGAGGAGATCTTGGAAGCTAGGCAGGTTCTGTTCTGGGGATCTTGAGGATGAAGGGGCTACAAGTATGGGACTTATTTTTGAGGGAAATTATAGGTGAACTGGGAAGAACAACGCAGAATCACGTTAATGGACTAGAGAGTCTTGTCAGGAAAAGCTTTTATCTTCCATTACTCACTTTTTGTGCCTGTGACTCTATATAAAATAAGATCACTGATGGGGTGGGGACTCTGCAAACAGAGAAGGGAGCCTGGTAGACTCCCAGCTTGCTCTGCAGGCTCTTTATTAATACTTAACATGACTTGGATGCACACAGGAATCTTATCTGTTGGAGTAAAGGGTCACGGACGCGCTTTTTTTTTCCTGTTAGCATATTTTTCACAGTCGAATCATGCCTTTGTTTATTAATTGAAAACTATAAAAAGGCTTTTTCCCATGCCTCTCTCCTCAAAAAGGAGGGCTGTTGATTGGTTCAAGGCCAAAAAAAGCAGACTTCGAGTCAAACTGATCTGTAATCTCACCGCTTTGTTTAACTTCATCTGGGGAGCTTCAGTTCTGTGTGCCTAGTTCTACAAAACAAAAGCAAACAAAAAAAGGAATGGTTCTTAGACAGATTTTGCTCTAACAGACACCTCCCTAATTTGTTCAGACTCGGGTGAAGTAAAGTTATTTAAAGCTTGGCTTGAGGAACTGCCCAGCCTCTATGTTCATGGATCACTGTGAAAGGGCTTATTCAAGTGCATTTAAAATATGGTGCACTGGCGTTAAGGAGGGCTCCTTTCCATAGGCATTCTTTTTTACTGATAGAAACCTGCCTTTTACTGGTTTGTAAAACTAGAGGGTGGAAAGGTGATTACTCAGTGTCCAAGTGTCGATATTGCTGAGCATGTGAAGCATACTAATGGGATAATGCTAATGAGAGCTGTTAAATTATTTACACGAATTGTCGAATGTGGCATAAAATACCTTCCACTGTTAATACCACTAATTAGACCACCAACATATTGCATCCGTTATCATAAATATCCTGTAGGTTGAGACAGACCAATTGTTTTAGCTTCCACAGTCCCTGTAATGGTTTAATTTGGCCTAAAATGGCTTTCAAAGTTGCTCCTTTTAGAGGTTTTTCTCATTATTCTCTTTTTTTTTTTTTTTTTTTTTTTTAACTGTAGCTGCTTATGTAAACTGTCTGGATGCCCTAAGTGAATTCTGCATTGTCCATTGCTGTCCCTGCTCAAGGTTGTGTGTGCAGGAGAATTTTCTTCTGTTCCAATTTAATTCCTGAAATCTAAATGTTCCCAAATAAAACTCTAGAACATCCTAGAGAAAGTTCTTTGAAAGCTTTAGTCTTGACTAGAAAGGTAAGGACAGCTTCAATTCTCTGTTGTGTTGTCATTGGAATTATAATGCGACTTTTGAAGTCTGCCAAAACCCCATTATTTTCCTCCAAACCCAAATTGTCCAATCTTTGCTCTCTCCTTTCATGCAATTTCACAACTTTTTTTTTGTTGTTGTTTTTGCAAGTAAGTGACCTTCACATGGGTATGTGGAAAGCATTCTCCTTCTGAAATATCTTGATTTTTGAGAATTGGTTGTTGGAGTTGAGACAAGGGATGGGAAGTTTTAATACAAAGGACGATTCTTTGAGGGAGTCTTCTGGAACAGTTCTCCTGCACGCTGTGTTCGTGGTGACACTGGTGTGACTCATTGAGCAAACTTCCTGGCATTTCTGTCAGCTGTGATTTCTCAGGATTTCAAAGGAGGTGATAACTGAATTATAAATAGACAATAGGTTCCATCTGCAAATTTCAAAGATAGATCCAGAGTTTCCTAGAAGGTGGGGGTGCTTTTTTGGACCCCAGGTTGGTTCTGGCTATGATATTTTGCCAGAAGGGCAGCTGATTAAGTCTCCAGACATGCCAGAGTCCTTGTAGTGAGGTGCTCGCTCGGTGTCTTGATTCTCTACAGCACGCGCGCTTGGAATGACTTCCAGATTTGTGCTTCAGTTCAGCCCTTCACTCTCTTATGTCTGCTAGCCATCAGAAACTTAACCCGACTGCCGAAATCCTTGCAGTGTCATGTGGGAGACCAATGAAATAAAAGCAAAATTATATGGGAAGTGATGAAGTCTCTGCCAGAGAATCCACCTTTGATGTTCCGAGTTGCCCAGCCTCTCTCATACTAGTTCGCTTTAAGGAACTGATTGATTTAAATGTGTCATCTAAAATCGGTATTTGCAGGCTTACTTTTTAAAAATTTTTTTTTTTTTTTGAGGGCTGGGGTATGTGATTGCCTATATGTGCACTTGAGGTACACGCATACGTGTGTGTTTTGCTGCACTCCTCTGCTAACCAGAACCACTTTTAAATGGACCTCTGACCATGGTGACGGTCAGCCTTTCTTAGCACAGAAGGGAGCTGAACCACGCAGTTAACTTCACGGAGACCAGTCTGTCTGTTCAGAGCCCTGACAGCGGGGGTCCAGATCACCTGCCAGCATCAGAGCCGGTCAAGTGATGCGTTGGGGTGGTTAAAAAGACCTGCGAAGCTCTAGTGGCTCCTTGCGCTTGGAACAGGGACAGGGCTCTTCCCAGGCTTGCTCTTGAAACGAGGCAGGCAGTGTGCGGTCTCCGGTGCTGGAGATGCTGGCTGGGGCTTTCCAGCCAACAGGAAGTG